GCAGAGGGGACGGCGGAGCAGCGACGCGCGGCAGTCCCAGCAGGCGGGAGGAGTGGGAGCCGCGCGGCCGCGGGCGGGGCGCGCCGACCAGGACCCCGGGAGGCGGGGCTGGGGCCGGCTTTCCCGCGTCGGGACTCAGGTCCTGCAAGCTGCGGTAACCGTACCCCCGAAGCAGAACACCAGGGAGCCCCGAAAAAAACTCGCCCCCTCTCCCAGACATTGTTACCTCAAGGACAGCCTCAGACACTCCTAAAATCCGCTTTGGAAAGGCGCTCTGGGGGCTCCCCGGACGGATCTCTACGCAACTGCGCGGTCCTGAGCGAGTGGCGCGAAAGTGGTTCGTATTGCCCCGAACTGAGCAGGCTGATTTGCATGGGTCCCGGCTTGGGGAGGAAGAGTGGTGGCAGCGGGTGATGGAGAGCGGGCCCCGGGGACCCCGCTCACGCGCCCGGGCTCTTGACACTGCCACTGCTGCGTGCGGTTGACCAGGTTCAAAAAGAAAAGTGCCTAGAATCTAGCACCACAAAGCCCCACCCTTTCTAATCCCATTCATCGCCCCTGGGCGGGGTCCCTTTTATCTGGTAACCACACCATTATCTTAAACAATAAAATGAGTTAAATCCTGATCTTCCTTTCCAGAAGGCACGGGAAGCCGACTTGTTTTACATAAGATTTGTGGTTTTTAAAGTAGAAAAAAAAGCGACTGCAGTTTGGTGAGGATTTATCTATGGTAAAGTCAGTTCTTTAGAGGTGATCTGTAGGGCGGAGGGGCTAAAGACAACTTTTGTGGCCTGGCCATCTTTTTTTTCTCTTTGGAATTTAGAACCACCTGAGTCAGAATGCACGAGATTTTTTTTCATTGCTCTTTTATTCAAACTTGGCAAACCGAGGAAATAATGCAACAAAGTGAGGCTTTTGTGTGTGTGGATGTGAAAAGCAAAAAACTTGCTTCTAGAAGAAACAGTAAAAGACATCGGGTTAGCCGGGTTCGGTGGCTCAGCCTGTAATCCT